CTTAAGCAGGCTATCTGCTGGAAGGAGCTCCTCAAAGCCCAGTCATTAGCATTCCATTTTGTTAGTCAGGTATATTCCCCATTGCAAATTATTAAATTGACATTCTGGTTTACAAAACTGTTTCTTAAGAGTTTGGTTAACATGAGTTAATTTCCCCCAGGGTACTTGGATGAACTGATTAAATAGTGCTCTTGACCTGCAATATTGAGGACCAGGCCCCAGATCAAAGGAATTTGCCCTTATTTTATCTGAGGGCAAGGCTGTAACACCTTAGGCCTGAGTGCTGGGTCTCTATCAGCCCAAGTCAGAAAGAACTCGATATTTTCACTCTATCTCAAACCCTCATTGCTGTGTTTTTGTTTTTTTACCCCTTTGTTACTGCTGGAAGATCTGAAAAGTCCCTCTTGGGAAGAAAAGGTACAAATGCTCTGTCACTTTGATTACTGTGGTGCCTCTAGCTACTCAATGTTTAATTCAGCATTGATGAATGGCTTCACCAAGCATCATGTCCTCTCATTTATTCTGAATTTAAGCTGTGATGGTAAAAACGGACACCCTAAGGAAGGTCTCCAAACAGAAGGCCCTCAGATTGGTTCCTGCCTTTACTTCTTGTCACCATCTTGGGAACTGTAATGGTGGGTGGGGGTGTTATTCTTCAGAATGCAGGATTCTAACTCTCTCACCTTCCCTCCAACTCCATCACCACTGGAATGGGACTAACCCCTATGGGTCACTGATGGCAACTAATAAGCCTATAAGGAAAGAATATACGCCAAAGGAAAAGGGTGTGAGGGCCAGACTGGGCTAAACCACAGACCACTAGCATCACAAAAACAGAGGGCTAGGCAGAGACCATAAAGTAGAGACCTGAACCAGGCTCAGGCCATGGAACAATATGGGACAGAACAGGTAATATCATGGAGGAAAATAAGGTATCAGCAAACGGTAGTTTGTTTCATGCATTGTCTCCACTCAAAATCATACTCTTTATAGTAGTAACATTTTGAGCAGTGGAAAGTGGAGTCATGAAACTTGAATTTCAGTGCCTGGCATCTAGTAGGTGCTTAATAAATGTTTATTTCCCTTCAAACTCCAAATCCAAGATTTTATGATCCTTGCTCTGTGATGTTGTTACCATTGTGGACCCAGACAAAGAATTCCTAGCCCTTTCTCCCCTTCGTGGTTCTCCTCTATCATGTGCACTGTGGCATAACATTGGAGGCCATCCATCATCTGAAGGCACAATCCATATACAAATAAGGTAAATTGCAGGTACACAGTCTCATGTGACCTAGTTGACTGTTGAAGTTTAAAGCAGGAATCTATTTCTCCCTGTTTCATTTCCTCTTGCCCTAGCCCCAACCCTGGAGGTCATACTCCTGTCTTGCTCTTTTTTTCCTGCTTCTACCCCAAAGAAGTCCTTGGTCCATGGAGATGCAAGGAAGGTCCTTTTCTGTTTGGTCCTCAGGCTCCTCTTCTTTGCTTCTGGTCAAAGCTATACTTCACAGTCTAATGAACTTCTCAGTCTATTGGTGTGGTTCAGTCAAAAGAACACTGACTCTGAAGGCAGAGGGCTTGGGTTCAAGTCCTACTTCCAACATTTACTTGCTGTGTGACCTTTAGCAAGTCACAACCTCAATGGGCCTCAGTTGTTTTTTTTTTTCGTTTGTAAAATGATGAGGTTGGACTAGGCTTCTGGAGATCGTTTCACCTCTAGATCTATGTTCCTACGATTCTATCCAGAGACTTCATGAAAATATCTCCTCTCTCCTCTGTTGGCATGGAGCAATAGACAGAGTGCTACATCCACAGTCAGGAAGATCTGAGTTCAAATCCAGCCTCGGACACTAGTTGTGGGACCTTGGGCAAGTCATTTAATTTGTCTTCCTCGGTTCCTTCAACTGTCAAATGGGGATAATAATAGAACTTACCTCTCAGGGTTGTTCTGTTAAATGAGATATTTATAAAGCACCTAGCACAGTGCCTGGCACATAGTAAGTGCTTTAATACATACTTGTTTCCTTCCTTCCTTCCTTCCTTCTGTTTTACGTATATATAGCCCAGCTTCCTAGATCTGAGTCTCCAACCAAGTCAACACCAATTCTATTTGTTCTTCTTTTCCAAATCCTTCTGAAACTCCAGGTCCTCTAAAACTCAGTCTCTTTCAGTATCATTACCATTTAGGGCTCCCAACCTCCCATCAAAACTCACTGTACCCATCACCCCTTTCAGGACTCAAAGATCTCACATACCTGGTGGAGAACATTAAAATCCTTAAAATCCTCAATTTATTCACTTCATAATCCTGTTTAACTGCTTGTAGCATTGACCTTTGCCTTGTACCATTAACCTCCTTAAACGCTGTATTTACATATGTCAATCATTTGGTCTTACTATTTCTCTATTGATCCACAGTGTTTTGGAGGTGGGAGAAGGAAGGTGGTTTAATAAACCTATCTATTATAGCCCTTACATCTCTCAGTTAAATAGTATTTTAAGATTCCTCAAACACCTAAGATACACTGACTCATTTGACCCCCATTACAATCCTACAAAGAAGCTTCCCCTGTTATTATTCCCATTTTGTGGAAGAGGAAACTGAGGCTCAGAAAGGTTAAGTGACTAATCCATGGCCACACAGTTTAGTAAATATTGTTGCCCAGGCTCAAATTCCAAGACAGGAGCTTGTTCCACTAGACCACACTGCCTTACTTGGTATAACATTTCTATGGGTTCCCATTCTTATTAACTTAATCCTTTCATTGTTTTTGTTGTTGTTGTTCAGTCATTTTCAGTCATGTCTGACATTTGGCAAAGATACTGAAGTGGTTTGCCTTTTCCTTCTCAAGCTCATTTTACAGATGAGGAAACTTAGGGGAACAGGGTTAAATGACTTGCCCAGGGTCACACAGCTAGTGTCTGAGGCTAGATTTGAACTCAGGAAGATGAGTCATCCTGACTCTAGGCCTGGAGCTCTATCTACTGCGCCACCTGCCTCCTGTGTTGTCTTACAAAGCAGCTATCTCCTTATTTTTTTGATTTCTGTAGTGGGAATAATCTGCATAAAGATTAACACTGTAATTTCTATTGCACAAGCACCTATCGCTGAGGCTCAGACATGTCACCTCAGTTTCCTTATCTGTAAAAAGGAGGGGGTTGGAGTAGATCAGGGCTCTGGCAAAGTGTGGTCTGAGGGGCAAATCCAGCGCAGCCTGTTTTGGTAAGGCCTTCTAACTAAGAATGATCATTACATTTAAAAATACAATAAGACTTTATTTTAAAATGTAAAGACCATTCTTAGCTGATGGGGTATACAAAAATAGGCAGCTGTCCAGATTTGGCTCTCCAGTTGCAGTTTGCCTACTCCTGGGTTTGACAGATGGCCTTCCAGGTTTAGATTGACGAACCTTGGGACCTTGGGCCTGACATGGTATATTCCAGGACAGTGGTTCCATTTAGTTTCCACTATATTCAATTATTTCTTTGTGTCCCCACTCAGG